CGGCTACAGGCGCGTTGCCTACGTTATTGACCTTGGCGGGGCCTTTGGTGGTGCCGGGGACAGCGCTGGCAATGTTGGCTGGCGTCTGGCCCGTCATACCCGACACGGTGAAGCGATCCGAGTAGTTGATGACGTTGCCGCCGCTCTTGGCCACGCTCGTCATGGCCAGGAAGAAGCCGTTCTTAACGCTGCTGGCCAGCCCCGGCGTGATCTGACACGTCGCTGAATTACTGCCGCTAAACTTGGCGCCGGCCACGCACGTCGTCAGCGGCAGCTGCGTGTTGGCCTCGTTGCCGCCGACGACCAGCGACAACGTGTACGACTCCAGGTCGGTAAGCGCCGGCTTATCGCCCGAATCTTTCCATTTGACCGTGATTGTGCCGGCAGCTATGGTTGACCCTGCGGCTGGTGATGTGATTTCCACGTCGGCGAGCGCAAGCGGGAGCAGGAGGGAGAGGAGCGGGATGCGCATGATGTTGTCAACGAGGTGGAGTGGCGTGTTGGGGTGGCGCAGCGAAGTTGGACTCAATCCCAACACCGAAAAACTAAAAGACCAGCTCTAAACGGACAGTACGGAATATCTGGATCGTTTAATGAAGTGTTTGTGTTCAGATCGCATGGTCACATGAGGGCCGTCGCCAGCTGAGATCTCGGGGCACATTTGTCGGTGGATCAACAGGCACCGGTTCAGCAGTGACAATATCAATGAGCGAGAACAAGGGAAAGGTTTGGCCACCCTCTTTGCAGAAATCACAATGGAACAGTATCAATACGTTTGAGAGTGTCGTCAGCAATGCCCAATTGAATGGCCTATTAATGCTGCAACTGTGTAGATTGGTGGACGCCAACGTACAATCGTAACTAGAAGTAGCGGACACTGGATGCAGCGGATTCCTCTTCGTAGACGACTGCTAATTTGGCCTCCACGCACCTGTAGGCGCTTGGATGCATCACATCCTTGATGGCAAATAAGGACTCCTGTATCAGATTATCAGATCGATACATGCTATACCCTGGTTCGGCTGGGCCGTATGAGAGAGCAATTACTGGAGCGATTGCCCTGTCACGATGTTGGAGCCCTGCTTTGGGGCGTTGATGCCTATCATGCTTTCCGTTGACTTCAAGGAGTGGCAGTAGTGGCGTAAAGCAAGCGATGAAACGCTTGCCAGCGGTTAATGAAGAATGTCCAAGTCTTACCAAAGTTGACGTGTTGCCGCCAAAACTGTTTGCTTCACTTACCTGTCGATCAGCATCAATCATTGGTACTGCCAACAAGCAACTGCACGCAGAGGGCTCAGCCACAGCGTTGTTATCTACCCCGGTCACGTGAATATAAAATAGGGTCATTTTCCAAGCATCGTTGCAACCGCCATCCCAGCTCCTACCAGTTTTGGGTTCAGCCATACGCTATTTGTGAGCACCCGAACCCAATCTAGACCCCCGCCAACCAAAGACCCTGTGAACGACAAATAGCCCTGCGTCGGGCCGTGCCGTTAACGTGTACCCTGAAAGGCTCTGCTGGGCCAAACTCTGAAACAAGGGAAATAAGGGAAGTTGCACATCGGCGCCTCCACGCGCCTCTCACGCGCCCTGCTTCGCTTCAGTTCAGTTCACTAATACGCTCTTTTCTGTTTCCCTAAGACACTCTTTTTGTTCCAGTCAAAACTATACACAACAGCAATGGCGCCCGGCGCGCGTATAGGAGTGTTCCAGCGTAAGCAGTCTGGCCCTGACGGCCAGGTCGACGAGGAAAACGGGGCTGTCAAGGAGCTTCCGCAGCACAACAATTATGACAACGCTGCTGGGTCTTCCGTCCATCACACGCGCGGAATCAACGCAGCGGGCGAGTCTGGCCGGTCGGGCTTCAACCCGGTAGCGTTTGCCCGCATCTGCTGGCACAGCTCGTGCAGCGCGTCCAAGTGGACCAACGTCCTATGGCCGTTCGCACTTGCTGCAATGATTCTGCATTTTGCCCACTTTAGTGACGAATTCCAGCACGACAAGCGGCGTCTGTGGGTGTTTATCACGAGTTACATTGGGATGGTGCCGGCCGCCAACCTGGTAGGTTTCGCCGGACAGCAGCTCGCACACAAGCTTCCCAAGGTGCTCGGCGTCATCCTCGAGACCACGTTTGGCAGCGTGGTCGAGATTATCCTGTTCATGGTGTTGATCAGGGGCGGCAATCGCAATGTACCAGTCATTCGCGCCGCCATTCTGGGCTCCATCCTGGCCAATTTGCTGTTCTGTCTTGGTAAGTGCTATTGATACCATTTGCAGCAAATGACTAACGGATAGGCACCTGCTTCTTTGTCGGCGGCATCTTCCACCCGCAGCAGACGTTCCACGAGGCCATCTCTGAGGTTGGTTCGAACCTGATGCTGGTGGCCGCTGTTGGCCTTGTCATTCCCACAATCTTCTACAACTCGTTGGCAGGCGGTCGTCTGACGCAGGAAAAGGCCGAAAGGCAGGCGCTCAACATGTCCCATGCCACGGCCGTTGTTCTGCTCTGCGCCTTCCTTGTATACGTGTGGTTCCAGTCTCAAAGCCATCATGGGCTGTACGAGGACATTCTCGAAGCTGACGAGGCGCGCGACATCGACCGCCAACGGGACGAGCGCAAGCCCAAACTGACACTAACCGAGTCTCTTGTGGCCATGGTATTGGCCCTCACCATCGTCTCGTTCATGGCTGTATTCATGGTAAAGCAGATTGACTATCTGGTCGAGGAGCTGCACATTTCCGACGCCTTTATGGGTCTCATTCTGATTCCCGTGGTGGAAAAGGCGTCGGAGCATCTCACGGCTGTCGACGAGGCCTACGACAACCAGATGAACTTTGCACTCAGCCACGTGTTGGGCAGCAGCATCCAGACGGCGTTGCTCAACACGCCACTGGTGGTCCTGGTCGGATGGGGGCTCGGCCACGACATGAGCCTCAATTTTGAGCTGTTTGACTCGGTCATGCTGATCCTGGCCATTGTCGTTGTTGGTAACTTCCTCCGCGACGAGAAGTCAGACTACCTCGAGGGCGTCTTGTGTGTTTTTGTCTACATCCTGGTGGCCATCAGCGCTTGGTATTATCCCAATCCTCTACATGAAGGTGGGGTGACCAGCGGCCAAGGCGAAAGCACGAAACTCGATTACGTCAAGACGATGGTGGGCTACGTCACTCCATCTGCAGTTGGTCATTGATGGGAGAATGGATGAAGTTCTTGCATGCATGAGCGTTTCTGTGTGTGTTTTTCCATGACGCGCGGACGTTGGGCTTGGCGTTTGGCTTTACGTAATTCAGTTTAGCGTCGTCTGTTCATGAACGACAGCAGAGTTTCATAGTTCCTACATAGCAAATGTCCAGAGTATCGCCGACTGCACGGCTGTTGCAGCATTCGCGGTTGTTTGCGCTGCCGCGTCCACTACCTGCACCGAGTGTCGAAGCCTTGACACAGGCGGTGCCGCAGTCGGACACAGCGACTCTGCCTTATCCTACACACCAAGCCATTGCCACACAACCAGCTTCGCGCTCTCGGGGAGATTGGGGACTGAAGCGGCCTTTGCCGTCCAAAGCCAATGCTTCCACATCACATGTGCGCATCTACGCGCAAGACACCCGGCAGCACGTAACCGACTTTGGCTCCGCTGCAGACCACACAGAGACGCAGGCAAAATGGAGGCAAATGGGCGTACCCTTCCTCGCACAAAAGACCAGGTCAATGGACCAGAGTCGGCAACACTGGAGCGCTTTCGACTCGGAAGTTGACAATACAGAAGCTTCAGATGGTGCAACCGTGCAGAGGTGGAAATACGACGGCCCGTGGCTGGGTGGAATGCAAGCGGGAGAATTTGATGAATTCATCACTGACTTGACAGTCAAGAGGAGTGGAGGTGGCAAGCAGAGCCCAACGGGGAGGTCCAAAGTGGATGAATGGCGCGACTTTGTCGCACTGCACATGGTGGAGCAGCATATTCAGAAGGCGAAAGAAGCGGCAAGGGCTGATGGCAGAGAAATTGGACCACAGCAAGAGTCTCGTTTGCGGGAGGAGGCGAGGCCGAATGAAGAGAGTCTGATGGCGTATGAGCAGCAGCTGCGGAAAGGCTTTCAAACAGACGGACTTTCTTCAGAGTTGACCAAGCTCATTGCGCGCTACCTGGATCTTCCGTCGGTGGCAGTTGATGTGGAATCGGTGAACCAGGACGCCATGGGATCGCAGCTGTATAAAATTCTCGGGGACATTGCCAGCGACACCTCATCAATTGCGCCGCAGTCGACGCATCCCAGCGCCGGGATGCTCTATACGCGCACAAATGCCGTCATGGAAAACCATCCGGTGCATGGCCCGCAGCTGTATCCGTCTCCGGTTGAGGCCCGTGTGCTTCGGCCGCGTCAAATGGCGCAGGGTCCGTCGTACCAGGCGAGTCTCGGCGTTGGCGGTGTCGTTACATCTGACTCTGTTTCTGCCGCGACATCTAACGCGCGAGACCGCTCAGGAAAGCCCGACCCTGCTGCCGCCACCGATCCCGATCTCCCAGGCGGCAACAAAGTCTGGGTTCATCCTCTGACGGCGACAATTAACCACAGCGGCAGGATCAAGCTGAACGTCGTCCGCGCCGACAAGGAGGCCGTGGCTGTCAAGACGGGCGATGTAGAGCTTATCCATGAAATACGCGCGGCGAGCTCCCGGGGTCAAATACAGCCGGCAGTCACTTTTGCCCCTGTTGGAAATTCTGGGAAGAAGCAGCGGCCCCATCAGCAGCCGGACCGTCGGCCTTCGGGGAATCAGGCACAGAGGATGATGGAAGTATTGGAATGGGGACAGTAAATCAGTGTATATCAGCCTCTTAGAATTGTACAATGCCACGGGGACCACAGCAGTAGCAATGAGTGGGACGGCTTCTCTTCCATCGAGGGCGGGATAACTTCGGCTTTGATTGTGCTATTTTATATATACCGCCTTTCCTCAGCATCAATATACTAGCGGACCATTTGGTCCAACGGTTCACAGGGGCCGATTGGCTCAATGGTAGAGCGTCCGCCTCCTACACATGGCGGAAGCGGAAGGCTGAGGGTTCGAGTCCCTTGTCGGTCGATATTTTTTTTTTTTTCGCTGTTTCCAAAGACCATCAACCTGAAACAGGCTGAGTTGAGTGAGGTTATGTTTTTGCGGGGTTCGACCAATCATAATCCAAAAAAGGTCAACGCCTGATCAGACTCTTCACCAACCCCCTTTTCAAATGGCCAACCTGAACGAAATCTCACATAGACGCTTCAATCCTCTCCGCAACTCCTGGGTTCTAGTCTCCCCTCATCGGACCAAACGTCCGTGGCAAGGCCAAGAAGAATCAACCTCCAAGGAAACCCTCCCAGAATACGACCCAAGATGCTACCTCTGTCCGGGCAACGAACGAGCCAACGGAGAACGAAACCCAAATTATACCCATACCCTTGTCTTTGAAAATGACTATCCCGCTGTCAAGGAGAGTTATGATCAGGGTGAGAACAACCCCTCCATCTCGAAGACAGGAGAGAAGAGTGCCACTATCCCGCAAAGCAACTCCCTAATGCGCTGGGAACCCACCTACGGCACCTGCCTCGTCCTAACCTTCTCGCCCCGGCACGATGTGACTCTCTCCCACCTATCCATCCCCTCCATCATAGCCATCATAAACAAATGGGCAGATCTCTACACAACCCACTCCCAAACTCATCCCTCCGGGTATATGCAAATCTTCGAAAACCGCGGCTCAGCAATGGGGTGTTCGAACCCTCACCCGCACTGCCAAATTTGGGTTACAACCTCCCTCCCCGATGAAATCCGCATTGAACTCTCATCCCTCTCAACCTATCGAACCCAACACGGGAGGGATCTACTGACTGATTACCTCGCCGAAGAAGCGAAGCATCCTTCCGCAAGGACAGTCTATGAGAACGAAAGTTTCTGGGCCGGTGTTCCCTTCTGGGCCATCTGGCCTTTCGAGATTCTCGTTGTGGCGAAGAGGAGGGTTGGTACCCTCCCGGAGTTGGACCTCCAAGAGAGGCGCCTCCTGGCGGAGGCGCTGGCGCAGGTTACGAGGAGGTACGATGCGCTGTTTGGTACACCGTTTCCATATAGCATGGGCATTCATCAGGCGCCGTTTTCGAGGGATGATGGGGATGATAAGGGTAGGGATGCTTCGCACCTGCACATCCATTTTTATCCGCCACTGCTGAGGGGGGAGAAGGTTAGGAAGTTTCTTGTGGGATATGAGATGATGGCGGAGCCACAGAGGGATTTGACGCCGGAGGTTGCGGCGCAGAGGTTGAGGGGGGTAGAGGTTGATTTAGGTTAGGGTGAGGTGGGAGGAGGGAGGGAGGTATGCTGTGGAGTTTGTTTGTTTGTGGTTTTTGCTTTTTGTGCATTCTATATGAGATCGTGGATTGGCGGAGGGGAGTTGCTGTGTTTGTGTTCAACACGCTGTCTTATTGTGCACGATCGTGGTTCTAACAAGGGTGGGTGGGAAGAATCTAGACATATGTCCTTCGACCTTTCCGGAATTATGGGCGGGATCAATCAGAGCACGAAGACACGAACTCCAAAGGGCCTGGGCATTCGATTTACCAGAGATACTTTACGACTCTAGATAACTTTACCCGAAGAAGACCAATCCCCACCTCAAGCCCCTTTCCAACTTCTCTCTCTGTACGAGCTTTACCATCCCCGCCTCCCAAGTATGAATTTTCAGCTAAAAGCATGTTGCAAAGTTAAATAAAACTATAAAATTCAAAAAAGCAATTGGGGATACTCACCAGGCTTTTACAATTGCTATCCACACCTCAGCCCAGCTAGACTCCAAAGTAGGACAGAAGTGTGTCTATTGAGACGGCAAGGTATTCGCAGACGTCCTCGTCGCAACCGTCAATTGATACCTTCTCAAGCCAAAAATTGTTTATGACATCTGCCTACGTATGAAAGAACAGATGATTTTCCCCAGTAGTCCGCTTCGTAATGCTAATTTAGGTCTTGTATACTTTAATCGTGCAGGGGTGAGGGAGGGGAGGGATGTGATTTTTGTGGTGATCGGGGTAGATGTTTCTCTGGAGGTCGTATATCTAGAGAGTATTGACATTTCGTTTCTGCGGGTTGTTGAACGCTTGTTCCGCGAATATCTTCTTTAGCAACTGTACATTTATATTCACATCAGACGTCCGGCAAACTCTTCTTAGGAGAGGCGACGAAAATGCGAAAGCAATGAACTCTTTCACTGCGCAGGGGCCCTTGCCGATCTATATATACTGTAGATGAATACCTGCCATGCAAAAGCGGTCATCCTTTCGGAAACGCGAGAATCAAAACTACACTTAAGCCGAACGAGAAAAAATTGCAAAAGTCCCCACCGCAATAGCTCATCCCACGGGCCAACTCAGTTGTTGTGGTTATCGTTTTAGATATGCAGATATTTCATACCTGACATACAAAGGAGTTAGATTCGCCAGGGAAAGCGATGATTTCCTCAGGCGTATTGTCTCGTCCCAGATCATGACGAAGGACTGTGCTTGCGACAACCACCTCACTGCACATAAAAAAAAAGCAGGTAGCGTTGGTCTCACTAACACAACGGTCCAATTTATCATACAAGAACCATTGCACTCGCTTCGGAACGTGTGCAACTCAACCCAACACACCAGCAAGATTATCTCTATCCACTGTTTTTAGTATCCCAGCACAGTCATACCTCCCCCTGCGCCCCGTCGCAATCAGCCTCCAAGGATCGTATTTCCGCAGTGTGCACTCTCGAACACAACATATCTGTAAAAGTCCACACATGCCAATCTTCACAAGACAAGTTTCGTCGTGCCAAGACCTGTCCGATACCTCCCATGCGGAAAATCATTCAATTCCCATACCATTAAACCACCCATCACTCCCAGGGTACAAGCAGAGTATGAGTATGTATTTCCAGCGCCGAAAAGAAAAATAATCAAGCGTGAAAGGAAGACCGTGGAAAGCCCGGATCCTTTGGGAGGTGAGCTCCTTTAACCCAGCACAGCTGACTCGATCAAAACCCAGCTCGCAAGCTCTTCCCGTGTTGCGATGGAGATTGTGTGTCACAAAAAAGCTTATGAGACTCAATCCCGCTTGACAGGAAAATCAGAGGTGAGCGGCACGATCCAGATATCCTTAGATGCTCACACCATCCACAAGTACGCTCGATCCCATCAAACCCAATCAAAAAGGATTGAAACGACAATTACCCACTAAACCACCACCCCCCCAACCAGCAAACCACTCAAACCCTCCAACGCCGCCACAAATCCGCACAGCACACTCGCAATGACAAACATAGAAATACTCTCCCCGATTTCCAACCAAGACCCCTCATCCCTCACCAACCAGAAAAACCTCAACGTCAAATAATCACTTATCCCAAGTACAACCGCGAAAAGGCTCCCCCCCTGAAGGCGCAGCCGTTTCGTCAGAATCCCCAGATTAGCTGAGACTAACGCAAACGGCGCGAGGAGCTTTAAGAGGAGGAGCGCGCCCTGCGAAAAAGGATCGAATACGGGAAGGAGGCGGTAGACTGCGTCTAGGGAGAATGAGGAGATTGAGGCGATGTTCCCCGTGCTGAAGAAGGCGGATTGGAGGAGGTAGAGGAAGAACAGGGATATTCGTGCGTCGGAGAGGGTTAGGGGGCGCGTTGGGGGGGAGGATGGTGATTGGTTTTGGAGTTTGTGTTCGAGGTTGACCCAGGTTATGAGCGTGATTGCGATGGAGAGGTAGAAGAGGCCTTCGTAGGATATGGTTAGGATGATGAAGAGGGGGCCGAAACTGAGGAAGAGGACGGCAAGGCGGGGGAGGTAGTGCGTTTGTGGGTGGAGGGCGTGGAGGAAGGGGATGAGAAGGGAGAGGATTAGGGTTATCCAGCCCACGAGTTGGGTTCCCAAAGGGAGGCCTTGGCGGGATTGGAGGGATGTGACGCTTGAGTGGGTTACGAGTATGGCGAGGGCGATGAGGCCAACTTGGATGCCGGTGATGGTGCGGTTGATGGGGTTGATGCGTTGGTTTGTGAGTTTCTGCTCGAAGGCGAGGTAGAGGATGCCGATGAAGAGGATGAGGACCCCGCCGAGGGTAATTAGGTTGGGAGTTTCGACTTTGACGGCGGGTAGAAGGGTGAAGATCGACATAGATGAGCAGCCTAGTGCCCAGGTCAGGCATAGGATTTTGTTTTGTTGAACGAATGACCAGCCGTGGAATAAGGGCCAGACGACGGCTAGGAGGTAGCAGACGGTGTAGATTTGGCGGCGGTAGTATGATTGTACCATGACCTCGAGGATGGCGAGATATAATCCTGCGTCCAGCGCCAGCTTTACCGCATCTTGACGGGCGAGCAACACATCTTTTGCAGCAACCCATGCCTTTCGTCGAGCGAATACCTCCTCCCAGAAAAAGACGGGAAAGAAGACATATGCATAGTATGTCAGTGGCGAGTCTTGGTACAATAGCATACTGTAGACCCCAACGAGTATAGCGGCAAAAGCACCAATCAAAGTCGGAGTTCGTGAAACCTGGACTCGTCCACCGAGCATGTATTCATCCACTGCGGTTGTAAACGCAAAAGCAATCCAGCCCAGGTATCCAAGAGTTACGACCGTCCTCAAAAAGACCCAGTCATAAGTCTGCAAGTACCGCAGCCCCTTGAGAGTATGCTTGATAACCTCATCAGCAGCCTTGATAGCATTATCGTATTGACTAGCCGTGAGCAAAGCCTCGACACTAGACAGCTTTTTCTTAATCGGCTCTTCAGGGGAAAATGGCCGATAATTTACCACACGAGCCTTCTTCTGCTCCTCCTTGACGCGGTACATTTCCACAATCTGCCTCGCATTCACCATCATTGCCTTGGCCTTTTCTTCATCCGAGGCATCAAGATAGGGTAGAGGTAGCTCACCGACGGAGTTGACGGGAAACTCAAGATGGGCAAGATAGGCCATTAAAGTCGCAATATCCGCCTGCGCGACATCATTACGTTTTACATGATCAAGATGCCAATCGTGGGAGAAACCATCTTCATGGCCTGGGGCGAATTGACTCTCGGAAACGGTAACCGGCTT